ACCAGCCGATTGACCCTGGTGGGGCCACCCGTCTACAGGAATTCAAGGCCAAAGTTGTGTGTTGCAGTGCCCCAGACACCGCTAAACCACCAGGATCCTCTCCTCCCCTTCTTGGGTCGCCACGCACAGCAAACACGTGGGTGGATGTTTAGATCCCAGAGGAAGTAACTGAAAATACAGAACCTTCCCTGGGAGGTCCCCTCACCACGTACAGGAATCCACGTCGAGGGGAAGGGAAAGGGAACTCTGAAAAGGAAAAATAATAAGAAAAAACTGGTCAAAATCTCATTGAATTCTGATATTCTAGAATGGCTACAGGCAGAAGATGATAACACGAAGAGGAAGAAAATTGCAATCTGATGCACATAGTGAGAGATGAACGTATCATGGGTAGTCCACATGCCCAATTGACGAAGTACCTCCATAGGATGATGAAGATGAAATGCAAATGAAAATGTAAGGTGTTGAATTGGGTGAGAAGACACTCAAAACAAAGCACAGGAGGAAGGCAATAAAGAGGAAGAAGCCAACTGAACGAAGAGCTGAACACAATTGGTAAAGGAGGAAGGAGAAAGAACATGAACAGAGGATGGTTGCCAAGGAATAAAGAGGTGGGAATGGATACCACAGAAGGAAGCTGTGCAGGCAATATAACAGAGAAGAGTACATACAGGACATAGAAGTCTATCCAGATCAGGATGAAGATAAATGTGAAATGGAAAAAGGAGAGAGCAGCTAAATGGATAAATTATCCTCATGAGCCACCAGAGTTTGAGGAAAAATAATCTGGAGAAAGGAGAAGATACGTAAAAGCATAAAGAGTATATGAAACATCAATGGCAAATAAACAGACAAGAAATAAGGGAAAGTGAAACAAGGAGCACTGGGAGAGTGAGTCAAACATAGGCAAAGTGAAGCAGTGCAGTACCAGATTAATATCCCCATCCGGAAGAGCATTAGACAACAAACACAGAAGAAACACATCCACAAATCAAGTGTAGGAGAGGGAACTGCCTGCAGGATTGGGAAAAACAAAAGGTGTGGAACTGAACTGCCCAAAAATCTGAGACTAAGGAGACAGAAGACTCTTGAAACCAAACATCAAGAGAAAAAATTTGCATGAAAAAGTACAGTGGGTTGATCAGGGGAAAACCCTAGACCCAGAAGCCAATGACAGAAAAATTCCATTTGCATTGAGAAACTTTCATGTACGAAGTGCAAATGAAACAAGCCAGAAAAAAAATGCCAACCATCAGGAGAAGCCGGATCCCCTTGCCATTCACCAGAGGAAAACTAGGTGTGAAAATGGAGGACAGGAAGGTGTGGATGAAACATCTGTGACTAAGGGTGGTGAAGAAGGGACGGAGACAGAGGAAAATGTAATGTACAAGGAAGTTGGAGTTGGAGTAGCTGTGGAAACCATAGCTAAGACATCCAGGAAAGAGCTATCAGAAAAACTATCAAGGATGAAATAAATCACCTGCAGAAAGAGGAGAACGGGAGGATAGACAAATGTGTAGGTCTAATCCTGGCTGAAAACAAGAAGACGAGGTACTGGAAATCAAAACCAAGACAATTTGTGGTTAAGGGACATAGTAAAAGCCTCAATGTGAGGAGTACCCCATTGAAGTCAAATTCACAGGAAAACAAAAGGATTGAGATATCACTCCATCAGATAAATGTTGTCTGGAGAAAAATCCAATCCATGAAAAGAGCAAAAGCACCCAGAACATGGCATACAATGATAGAAATATCCAGCAAGAAGATCGAACATATGAATACAGTGGGATGGAGAACAGGTGCCGTCCTGATGATTGAGATAAGCAACCACTGTAGAAAAGTCAGAATGAATCATTACCAGACGATTTCTGGCCAGATGAAGAAAATGAACCAAAACACAACCTACAGCAAGAAGATCCAGGACGTAGAGAGGATAAGACTTCTCAGCCACAGACCCCAAACTCCAAATCTTCCAGTTGATCAACCCATGCCCCCAATCCCTGAAGGGATGTATCCATGAAATATGGAAAACCAGATATGGAGGAGGAAGTGGGATACCTGCTGATGTGTGAGTCACATCTACCCACCAATGCCAATCAACAACAAGGGTAGGAGGAAGGGTAATAACAGCTGACAAAGGATCACTGAAAAATTCCACTGGTCGTGAAAAGCCTACAAAAGAACCTGACCTGAAGAGCTAAGACTACCATGGAAGATCACATCCCCAAAAGCAATA